CTTTTTAAAAAAATAATGTATGTGTAGCCTAAATAAATGTCCATTTGGGAAAGTGAATTATTAGCATAAAATATGTAATAACGACTTTAGTTTTACTTTTATTCTTACAGAGCTTTAAATTTTAGGAACAAATAAAAAGCTAGAATTCTCCTTTCTCTAGGGACCAAAATCAAAGAGAGAAAGCCAGCTAATCTTTTTCTTCTACACCCACTTAGACCCAGAAAGGAAGGAGCCACACAATCAGTAGCTTTCTAACAGGTTCCGGAGTTTCTAAACGACAGCAACTCTGGGTGCACTGACTTTACACTCACCTAGAACTGCATTGATAGAAGAAAGCAAGATTGATGATACCCCTGTTCTACAATTAAATATATTAATTGTCTAACAGATACATGAACTTAGTATTTGTTAGATATTAGAAGCAAGAATTGAGAGGTGAAGAGCTTTCTCCCTGGGCCCCGGCAGAAAGAGGAAACCAACGTGAGAATCCTCAGAGTTGGCCATGTAACGTTCCTCTGGTAATTATCAGGGGCAGATAGCCTGAAAAGGTCTTATTATGTATTTCCTCTTGGGATGAAACGCTCATCTGTTCTACGTTTCATCTTCAAGGACAAAATGCAGCTTACAACCCGCCCCGTCTTGTTTAAAGGACGGTGATGTTCCTGTGATGAGTCACGTGTGCCTTTGATAGAATGAGTTCCCAGGCAGAAGCCCGCGGGCTGCACTCCTCACTGCCCAGCTCAGGTAAGACAGCACAGAGCATTTTCTGGGTCCAGCCCATTCTATTAAACGCTGTAGTTCAACGCAGTTCATTGGTTGCTGTAGTGGGACTCAAAATGTTTACATAAGTTTATGATTTTTTTTTTTGGTTTTTTTTTTGGAAGTAGGGTTATTAGGGATGGCGTGGCAGTAACTGATGTCTCAGGAAAGGTGTTTAAGCTTGAACTTCTTTTTTAAAATAACTTTTATTTGCATTTATTTTATGCTGAATTTATTCCCAGGCCATATGCTTTTGTTTCTTCAGTTTCTTCTGGGATATCTTTGTCTTCTGGGCAACAATCTGTTCTTTTGCAGTAAGCTTATCTCGCTGTGGCCGCAGGGGTTTGTGTAGGGGTTACTCCGACCACAAGCTCTGTAAGTCTGGAGGCGCATCTTGGGGGCTTTGCTCACCTGGATGAGCTCAGTGGCTTGAGGACCGATGTGTAAACTCTTAAGCTCATCATTACTCTGCATTTTTTTTTTTTTTTTTTATCCTCACCCGAGGACATTTTTCCATTCTTTGTTCAGGTAGAGTGGGAGGGAGAGAGAGGAACAGAGAGAGAGAGAGAAACATCGACATGAAAGGGACACATCAAGTGGCTGCCACCCACACAACCGACCAGGGCCGGGGACAAACTGCAACCGAGGTATGCGCCCTTAGCGGGAACCGAACCCGGGTCTCTCAGGATCGCAGGCCGACGCTCTAACCACTGAGCCAAACCGGCCAGGGCGTTTTACTCTGCATTTTTAAACACGTGCGGCAAAGACTTAGCACTCTTTGGGGCCATTGGCCCTGTGTCCTGTCCCACTGTTTGGCTTGGGCACCCCGCCATTTAATGATGAAGTGGCAGGACTTGCTTCTGTAAAGTGACATCTTTCAGAGACACGGTGGCTTCTCAGATTTGCATACCTCTGATGGTCTGGGCAGTTTCACGGGCGTTCATAAAGTAAACATGGAGACTTGAACCTCTTGATTTGTATGATTTTGTGGGTTTTTCGGGGTCAAGTGAGTAGCAAACCACTTCCAGAGATCACTTCAGGCGACTTGTGAAAAGAACTGGAACTCATTTTGCATTCCGGTGTTAAGAGTGACTGTCAAGTAATAAAGTCAGGAAAATAGAAGTAGAAGGCAGGACAGCCGGATGGTGCATTGGTCAAGGACATGGCTAAGAGAAGCTTTTTGTTCATAGTTTGCAGAACTGGATCCGCTTTCTCATCAGGAGTGAGTCTACAGGAGGCCTCCGCTCCCCTGTGCCAGAGGGTATTTGAAGCTGGGGGATAAACCGGGTGCTTCTCCATGTGGCATCTACTTTATTCGAAGATTTGAGGCCAAAAACAACTGCTTTTATATGAAAGTAAACCAGGTGTGTAGTAGAGTGGGAAGGAAATGGGATCCAAGTTTGAGGACAGGGATGTCTGCTCATTCAGGCAGCTCTGAGCTCTGCCACCAGTGCAGTGTCTTGGGGAAGAGTTTGGGGAACCTGAGGTTACCTGGCTCACCTGGGGTCACCCAGCTGGGCCCCACACCTGTCTTGTGCCTCCCCCCCTTGGAATAACTTTCTTCTCTCTCTCCCTGCTAAGCTCTGTTTCTGGTAAGCCCAGGTACAGATGCTCTTTCCTTTATGAAGGGTTTCCTGATGGACCACCTGCTGACCCCACACTCCGTCACCTCCTCTCCTGTGGACACATGAGACCATGTCTCAGCTCCTCTCCTAGCCAGGGCTCCGAGGCCACAGTCTGGGCATTGTGCCCCCTTGCACTCTGCTTACTGCAAGCTGGATCTCAACAGACACTGGAAGAGTGAAGAGTGAATGGATGAGAAGTTGGTATTCCTAACTGGTGGCCGAGGTGGCAGCTGATTTTATTTCTTTTTGGAAGTAAAAATCAAGAGAAGGTTTAGTCTGGCCAGGGGGTATATCCAGAAAGAAGATGAGAGGGAAAAATGAAAAACTATCCCTTCCAGACAAGTTTCCCCATTAGACAATGCACAGTCACGGAAGGAGGGTCTTCGGAAAGTCCTGACGCCGAACAGAAACCATTCTGATGGGTGACTGTGATTTGTCTTCCTTTCCCAAGTCTAAATTGAAAGAGAATTATTGATCGGTTGACTTCTGCCATTTTCATGAGGAATGCAGACTAAATAATGACCCCTTATGACTTTCCCAGTCGCATTAGCTCCAGTGCACTTCTTCTTTTTTTTATCCTCACCCGAGGATATTTTTCCGTTTTTTGTACAGATAGAGTGGAAGGGAGAGAGAGGAAGGGAGAGAGAGAGAGAGAAACATCAATGTGAAGGGACACATCGAGTGGCTGCCACCCGCACGACCAACCAGGGCCGGGGACAAACTGCAACCGAAGTACGTGCCCTTAGTGGGAACCGAACCCGGGTCTCTCCGGACCGCAGGCCGACGCTCTAACCGCTGAGCCAAACTGGCCAGGGCCCCACTGCACTTCTGACGATGAGGAAATATTGAGAACGAAAAGAGCTGTTCAACAACAAAGTACATCATTATGGTGTGTGAAGGACATCATGTCATCCGTATACCACTATGTTGCAATCAAATCATCCAAGAAACTTCCCTCTAATTCCCAGAAGAATTCCCTCGGGCCATGTGAGAAGTTTTGTTCCCTTGGCCATGTTGTCCGGGTTCAAATGCTTCCCAAGTGGGAGCTGTGTCCGGGACTCTCTGGGGCCACGAGCTGTATACACGGGTTTCATAGGAAGTGTTAACAGAAAGGGTCAGAAAGGCTTCTGAGTCCTGACTCTGGTTCTGCCCCTGGTTTTTTGTGTGTGTGGCTTTAAGGCAAACAGGAAAATGTGTATATACTTTAGTTTCCTAAGTTGACAAATGAGAAAGACACTATTTTTCTGTCAAATATCTCAACACCAGAATACAAACAAACTTCAGACATAGGGGTCATTCATCATAAATGTGTTATTCCCACTCTTGGCTGATAACCCACCTCAGGTTTTACTGGAAAGATTCGGGTTATCTTTGATAACTTGAACTTACTCATCCTTCTCATTTTCTGTTGAGGTGTCTCTATCTCTGTGCTTGTCTCCCAGTTTCAGACAAGAGGGAAGACATCTCTCTTCCTCCTCTCCAGAGCTAACTCCTTCCCAGGCCCCTCCACCCAGCCCTTGGCGTCTTCCTATTCCACCCTTCACTACTGGCTTCCTTGCAACGGTTTTCTGATATGCCCAAGCTTTGCGACAGTTTTCTGATATGCCCAGACTTTACTCTATTTGAAAAGTGCACAAGGAAAATGGAGAACTTGAGCTTGACCTGGCTGTCTCTTCGAGTCTATTTACTGCTTTCCTTTTTCAACACATCTCAATTTCCTCTTTTAACACAGCCCCTTAGATTTGCTAGCTTCCTTCCTCCGTCGCCGTTTAAAGTGCACTCACGGAGCTCACAGGGCTGCCGAGTGGACAGTCCAAAGAGGGTATTGTTTTAGCTTCATTCTTGTTTTCTCAGGAGCATCGGTTTTCTTTCTGTCCACTTTTTTTTCTTTCGACCTTCCCTTCTGATGTACTTGTCTGCTTATCCCCTACTTGGAGGTCCCAGACTTGCTCACTGCATGTGGATAAATTCTAACTCTGCCACTAATTAAATGCATGGCCTTGGGCAAAGTCATCTCTCCGTGTGTTTCCCCATTCTTAAAATGAGAATCATAATAAAAGTACTCACCTCAGGTTTGTTGTAAGAATCAAACAAGATAGTCTAGGTAATATATACTCCAATGTTTGGATCAGAAATATTTAATAAATATTATCTATTAGCATAACAATGTGCTTCTAGAGCTTTGGATATATAATCTTTTTTTCTTTTTGGACATAATGCTCACTTATCCAAAACAGGGCCAGATAATAAGTAATTACTGATAAATGTATTTATGCACGTGGTTGGAGAATCCAGAGAAGGAGGAATGATGAGGGGCTAGGAGGCTCCCAAATTCTGCCTGTTACCTCCAGGTTTTTGGTTTGTTTTAGCAATAAATCATTTAAATTGTTGAGAGTTTAAATCAGTCCTTTCAGGACCTGCGGTGTTTGTTGAGCAGGAAGGGAAATCAACAGTTAAAGCAATAGTTGGTTGTGCACCAGTCAGTCACAATGAGGCTGCTTGGCCTGGAACACAGAGTCCCATCCTTAGATTAAATGCGGCTCTAACAGAATTAAGGGAGGAAGCGGCACAGCTGCGGCTTTGTGCTGAGGCTGCCCGGAGCCCGTCCATTGAGAGATGCCGCCATCTAGTGGCGGCACGGGGGACCGGTACAGGGCAGAGCCGGTTCTCGTGGCGCAGAAGAGCCTCGGAACGCAGTCCTTTCTTTAGAAAGTGTGGGTAAGATCCGGAACGAGGGCAGGACAAGGGGGAAAGCTCAGCAAGGGGAAGGAGGAGAAACACCTCAGCACAGTTCGGGGAAGTAAAGGGCACACGTGTCACCGGAACACCCTTGTCGGTATCAGAGGACCATTCCCTCCCCCACCTCAATACCATCAAAACTTTGATTTTTTTCCCTTTCACTTTCCAACACTCTGTGCTGACCCGTTGTCCTGAACAGACTCTGCTTCACCTTCTTCATTCCCTTCTTCCGTGTTAGGAATTCAGGGCTGGGAAAATTGAGCCGAGTCATCCCAACTGGCTGGCACCCCAGGAACAGCAGCCCCTGGACCCGGGCTCCGGCGGCTGGCGCCAGCGCCTCGCCACGTGACAGCCGCAGGTAAGGGACAGCCCAGGCGGCGGCGCGCAGAGCCTCGGTCCGCGGGGCTCCCCGCTGCTTTCCCGACCTCATTCCGGTCACTGACATCTGAGCGAGTTGATGTTCTCTTTGCAAAACTGAAGTGGGCCATGTGGACCATGTAGCCTCCCCGCCCCGCTCCCCTGGCTTTTCCTTTTCACAAAGTATGTCAATCCAATCTTATCAGTCCACCTATGATCAAAACATAGATTGTAGAACATTATATTAAGTCGGCTAAGAGCTTCGGGTGGAGGGGACTGAAGGGAAGATACTAATGTTTCACACTGAAGGGTCTCTGTAGCCGGTCAGCACGGAGGACATTGTCTACGAGCTGGGCATGTCCTAGAATATAGTGATGGAAAGGACAGAGTTTAGGCTGGGACTCTGCTTTGCCACTACTGGTTATTGGACTTCAGGCGAGTTGTTTACATTACTCTAGGCCCCCACTCCCCTTCTTTTTTTTTTTTTTATACTCACCCGAGGGTATTTTTCCATTTTTTGTACAGATAGAGTGGGAGGGAGAGAGAGGAAGGAGAGAGAGAGGGAAACATCGACGTGAAGGGACACATCGAGTGGCTGCCACCCGCACGACCAACCAGGGCCGGGGACAAACTGCAACCGAAGTACGTGCCCTTAGCCGGAACCGAACCCGGGTCTCTCAGGACCGCAGGTCGTTGCTCTAACCGCTGAGCCAAACTGGCCAGGGCCCCCACTCCCCTTCTCTAAAATGGACATAATTAAACCTAATTCTCAAGATTATTGTGAAGATTGCATGAAATACAAAGGCCTCTTATTTGAGAGATTGAGACTGGATTTTCGAGAGTTAATGAAAGAAGCTGGTTAAAGCAGAGAATTATAAAGATGATACTTAGCTCAAATAGTTTATTTTACTCTAAAGTATAGAATTTCCTAATCTTTTACATAGGACCACAGCCTTTTCTTTGCATGTGTGTTCACTAGTTAGTGTTTTGTTTTTTTTTGAATTGTCTTTCTTGAATAAGCCACACACATAATCTTCGCTTGTGAGTTCTCGTTTTGGTTTCTTTCAATGTAGTGAGAATGTAAAGACATCTAGGAAGATGCTTATAAAGTCACTTTCTGCAGAAGCATTCATTCTAATTATAATATTCATTCCAGATTATTGAAACGTTTTCCAAACTTATACTGCCCACACCTCATTTGATAGCAATTTTTAACAGCTTCCCATTGTTGAATCTTTCCAAAACATTTGACCTTGCTTTCAGAGAAACGACTTTCTTTGTATTCTTATATTGCATGAGTTTGTGTAATATTTAAACTACACAGTTGCAATGACAAGTCCAGCTGGCATACACTGATTCTTGGTTAGCGTGCAAAGACTAGTGCAGCAGAAGTTGGGGGTGAATACTCGCAGTCACAGCATTGGTTGGTACAGTTCACAGAGGGCCTGGAAACTGGAAAGTTGGTTAAGCAGATGTCAGCTAAAGCAGCTTGTCCTGCAGTGAATATAAAGTGCTAAATGTAGTATCTAGTATATACATGTGTTCAATAAATAGTGCTATTAATGTTATTATTATCATCAATAAGTGCAGGGTTGAAAGGATTGTTAGAAATTAAATAGTTTCTTCCCCTCATTTTATAGATAAGATCAAAGTGTTTTGTAATTTTAACCTTTCTAGTATGTCTTTTGGCTTCCGTAAATAAAAGGATTATTGACCATAAACCTAATATTTTGATTCAGAAGGATTTAAATCTGCAAACGCACCTAGGAGTCAGCATAAAGCCCCAAACAGTCTTCTAAGTGACCCCAAACCCATGTCTGTTCAGGAAGGCCAGGTAGAACCTCAATGAGGCAAGGAGGCCAAGCTCCAGGGTCTGGGGGTGGTGAGAATGGGGGACAAGGCATTGGCATACTCAGGAAATAATAACTACAGGAAGAATTCATTGAAAAATGTGCACAGGGATACATGAAACTACAAGCAGAGCTAAGCCTTTGGGTTAAAGGTGGCCAGGTGGCCTTCCAGCCTCGGTCACACCAAACTATGCACCTGTGATGACCAGAGCAACTCATCAGAAAAAAAACTAGGAGGAAGTCCTTGTTTGTCATCATTTTGAATATTTCTTGACACTCCCTTTTGCCCAGCAAAGTTTCTGTTGAGAAAGCAGCTGACAGTCTTATGGGAGCTCCCTTGTTGTTAATCACTGCTTTTCTTTTACTACTCTTTGTCTTTAAACTTTGGCATTTTAATTACGATGTGTCTTGGTGTGGGCCTCTTTGAGTTCATTTTGTTTGGGACTCTCTGTGCTTCCTGGACTTGTATGTCTGTTTTCTTCACCAGGTTAGGAAAGATTTCAGTCATTATTTATTCAATTTTTTGCTCTCTCTCTTTCTCTCTCTCTCTTCTTCTGGCATCCCTATGATGTGAATGTTAGCATGCTTGATGTTGTCCCAGAGGCTCCTTATACTATCCTTATTCTTTTTATTCTATTTTCTTTTTGCATTCTGATTGGGTGTTTTCTGCTTCCTTATCTCCCAAATCATCTATTTGATTCTCTGCTTCATCTACTCTACTGTTGATTCTCTGTAATGTATTCTTCATTTTAGTTATTGTATTCTCCATATCTGACAGCTTCTTTTTTGTTTTCTATCTCCATTTTTATGTTTTCTATCTCCGGACCGCAGGTGGGCGCTCTAACCGCTGAGCCAAACCGGCCAGGGCTGTTTTCTATCTCTTTGTTGAAGTTCTCACTGAGTTTATCTAATTTTTCCCTAAGTTCATTGAGCATTCTTATAACTAGTATTTTGAACTCTACATCTGGTAGATTGCTTATCTCTCTTTTGTTTATTTTTTTTCTGGAGTTTTGTTCTGTTCTTTTATTTGAGGTATATTTCTTTGTCTCCTCATTTCGGCTGCCTCCCTATATTTGTTTCTGCGTATTAGGTGTAGCTGCTTCATCTCCCAGCCTTGGTAGTGTGGCCTTAGGTAGTAGGTGTACTGTAGGGACCCAGTGGCACAGCCTTCCTGGTCTGCTGGCTGCTCCAGGTGCTCCTTGCGTGGGTTGTGTGCACCCTCCTGTTGTAGTTGGGTCTTGATTGCTGTTGACATGTCAACGGGAGGGATTTACCCCCAGTCCAATTGGCTGCAAGGACTGGCCATGACCACCGTGGGGGATCTGCTGTGCAGAGGCTGGCCCCATGGAGCAGGACTTGCTTCAAGGAGACTCTGGTGCCTGCTAAATGTGTTGCTCATGGAGATGGCTGGGTGGTGCTTTGATGTGGTCTGAAGCTGTCTTCCAGATGTTCTGGCTCTGGGGTCTCCCAGGAGGTGCAGGCCAAGGTCAGCCTCTGCCTGTGCCCTTCCCAGGGCCAACTGGTATGAGCTACAGAGCAACCTCCAGATGGCTTTTCCTTGTACTGGGTTTGGAGGTGCCCAGGAGATGCCAAGCTGCAGGCTGCCACTAGTGCCAGCCCTGGGGCCATTTAACAAGAGGTACAGGGCATGCTGAGGCCAGATGCTACTTGTTTGAGATATTTTAGGAAAGTCCAAAGCATGAAACAAGACAAGACATTTGTATAGAAAAGTCACTGGAAATAGGCAGACAAGTTGCATAGGGTGGGGTCTCAGGGAATCACCAGGGTGGGGTGAACAGTGATCGCCAGGTTGGTGGAGCTCTGTAGAGGGCTCAGCGAAGGAGCAATGGCCTCTGCCGGCACTTCTGTCTGGAGAAAGCTGCCCCTCCAGCCCTCACCCTGAAACCGGACAGCTCAGTCCCTCCCTGTATGTCCCTGGTGTCTTTCGAGCTGCTGCCTCAGTGCTGGAGCTCAGAGGGAGTGAGTCTGAGTTAGTTCCTGTGTGAACCCTTTAAGAAGATCACCTGGAACTCAGCCCTCGGTCTCAGCCACAATCCCTGCTGGTTTTCAGTCAAAGGTTATGGGGACTTCTCTTCTTGGCACTGGAACCCTGGGCAGGGGGCCTTGTCTGGGGCTGGGACCCCTTACTCCTCAAGGGGGACCTCTGCAGCCGAGATATCCCTCCTGACATTTAACCACCACATGTGGGTGTGAGACCAGCCCGTGCATGTGTCTGCCAGTCTCCATGTGGCTTCTGTCTATCCTTAATTGTAGGACTCTGCTCAGCTAGATTTCAGGCTGTTCTGCATGGTGGTTGTTCTGTGGTCGAGGTGTAATTCCGATGTGGATTTAGGAGGAAGTGAGTACTGCGTTTACCTATACCACCATCTTGACTAGAAGCCATTTTGTTGGACTTTTTAAAAGACACTTTTTATTTAAGAATAGCATCCAAGAAGAGTACACCCATTGTAGTCTGTACAGCTCAATGTGATTTTCATTTTATTTTGAAAGTAAAATTCAATGTACTGCACAGTCATATGCCTTCAACCTTGTTCTCTGCAAAGACCCTGATGCCCCCCCCCCCACTTCCCCTGGGCCTTGGCTGCCCCTCTGACTCCAGGGCCTCCCCCATGCACGGCCTCAGGTTAACGGGGTATGCCAATTCTGGGCTCACTCCATCCCCAGTGCAGAGGTTTTTATATACCAGCGTGTGTGTAGCATCACGAGGCACCTTGTAAAAACATGCAGCTTGCAGACCCTGTGCTCCCTGGGACTCAGATCTGATAATTACGGGGAGGCCTGGAGTTTATAACAAGCACCCCAGGGAGTCTGATACAGAAGGTCCAGCCAACTGTGAGAACTGTTTTTTCTGCAGCAAAGATGAAGATGAGCCTGACAACCTGTGAGATTGAATTGGATCACAGATTTAATCTGGAGGCGGGGAGGCGGGGAGGTGGGGGGGGGGGCGGGAAGTGTTCACTAGCAGAGGTGGCGAGCTAGAGGTGAACCCTTGTGTGTGTGTCTAACCACTTGCTGACTCTCCCATGCAGAGTGCTCAGCTCTTGTTTTCTTTGCCCTGCTTGAAAGCCTTCCATGGCATTAAATTCTAGATGTGTCACTAAGAAGTGACAGGGCTGAATGCTTGGCTTCT